AATGCCGATTAGCGAAAGAGTATCAATCTTTCGCATATGTCGGCATGGTGCACGAATTCTGGCGCGTACTGTATATGCTGCATACCTTCAGCCTAAGGAAAGTCATATATTTCGTGACGCTAATAAGAAGACGTTATATAGAAGTCATAAAAACTTTAAATCAATGAGGACGAGGATGCATATTTCATGAGCAGCATTTATAAACGGGCACACAATAATCTGTAAATGGTCACTGTATATTTTGCAAATCGTGTAATTATAACCTTCAAACGTAATATTTAAAGATACATAACTTGCTACCATAGGGGTACATTAAAAGATATCTTTATTATCCTTTTTTATTAAATCTATTCTAAATTATAAAGGAGCTGAAAACAAATGTTAAAATTATGCTACTTGTGTAATCATTTTTAGCAAACGAAGTTCTTGTAGACGGTCATAAAAAAACTCATTGAAAAGCCGGGACCATGGCGTGACTGAATCATCTTGGGATAAAGCTGCACGGTAATCTGTATTATAATCCCATCTAAACAAACATTTCTAGTCAAAAACTTATTTCCGAACAATGGTTTACATTTTACGAGAAAGATCAGCTACTTTCCGTGCGGTATTGTGTGGTCACGAACTTCTGCTCGATTAAATATGTGTTTGAGAGGTATAAACGACAAAAATTAGTTAAAGTGGAATGGCTGACGAAGTCTCCTATAGGTCACGTTTCATCCCCTTTCCTTGCAGCTGGTATCAGCGCCACGGCATAGAGTGACCCATCCAAACACAGCTTCAGGTAAATGCTGCATTATAAACGCGAGCCGATCACAAAATGGGCTAATCTATATACCAATTTTCCACTACTAGAAGTGGTCTATGTTCTCACGACCTTATTACTCGTGCTCGGCTATCGGTGGACATTCAACGCGCACCGTTTCGACTGCGTTCAACCCATATATAAAGAATAAATTCCTACTAATATATTTCCTTTTCAACTAAATTCGAGACTTTGTCTTGGGATAATAATGGTTAGGGGTATTTCAGTACCACAAGATCTCGCGATTTTAGTGTGCCTACTTGTTGGTACTGCTGATCGCTTTTAAGCCTCCTGCAAGATTTTTACTCCAGAACGGTAAGCGAAAACGGAACACTTGTATCCCGTCCTACAATCAGGTCAGATCTAGTAAAGCCATGTGACCTTAGTGTGGGTCTCACACCACCACTCGACGCTGCCGTTAGCGCAAGGTACATGTGACAAGCGCAATTATCCCCCAGGGTCCGTGACATAAAATGTAGCCGTTTCACGCCTTGATTGAATGCATGTAACGAAACTTGATTTCGAGTGTCAAAAAACACCCCCAAAGACACAATAAGGCGAACAAAATGAACGTGTGATGCTGGACTTTCGCAATTCGGTAAATACATCGTCCCATACAGTAGCTAATGACGGGATAGTAATCAGTGATGGTCAAAGGCGGGAGCGATCAAGGTCAAACCTGTAGAGAAGGTTAGGAACGTATGGAGTGAATTAAAGCATTTGTGAAACATTTCCAAATGTGAGGACAGAAAAGATCGGCGACAAATGACTCTTGTGTTTGTCCAACTGGACCATGCCAAGTCGCGGGGTGAAAAATTTTCAGTAATCACACGAAAAGAAATTTTATTCCGGTGCCCGCTGTAAGCAGGCATTCTTTTCGAAATTTGACCGTTGCGGTATTAGAGAAAGTAAATCAGGTGAAAGGCATAGACTTCAGTTTCAATCATGATTCGGTCCAATCACATGTTTTTCAGTCGCGCAAAAATGCCACTAAAATATTTTACCTATCTCTTGTACAGAGAAAAAATACTCGTTAAAATCAATGCCTTAATAATTTTGAACAAGTTAAATTAATATTCTGATGGGGAGAACACGTAAAACTAACTGACAATCTCATGGACACAGGCCCTGCAGCGCAAAAAATCAAAGTTGGGTATTTAAAGTTGGCTGGCTCACATACGTTTGAAGCAAGAATGTACCCAGAAGAAGATGCAATCACTGGAACATGTTTATTAGCCCGAAGGTTTTGGATCCCCAATCGAACTCACTATTAGAGACGGTCACATATAAGGGGCTAGTTTGTATTCTTGGATGACGTTAGATAAGGCAGCTTATGAAACTTGTTATCTGTGCTACTTTGTGTGTCGCTCTCTGTTCGCAATTTCGTTCGGCCACCCTCTGCTCAGACTGTTTTGTATTTTTCTTACCCATGAACGCGCGACACCTTGCCTTATCTTGATCAATTCTCTGAAGTTATTTGCGAAACCTCGAGTGATAGTCTTTGAAGAGCACTCGGATCATTCGTTTGCCATACTGAATTACTGTGCGTCTCGCCAGCTTTGAGCTAACCGGAGGTCTGTACAAAACACATTCCAGCAACACAGTATTGTTGAGATATCTGTGCAGAAACAGGATCTGCGCATATGTAGAAAAATTTCGAAGGGCGAATGTTTTCCACAGCTGAGCTGATCGGAGGATATGGCGTCCGAACAGATTGCCGATTAAAGCTAACAGGAAGTTTCGGGAATCAGTTCAGAAGAATAAGATGCGATCTATTGAGCAGGTTTATCGGCCTGACGTTTCGGATTTTCTTTCAAACCCATTACCAAATACAGTCGGAAATAATGGGTTCGTATGAGGATCCAAAACGTCATGCCAGTAAACTTCTTGTTCCAGCAGTCGCATCTTCCTATGCTCTGCTTCCTAAAACTTGTCCATTCACTTCTATTAGCAGGAGTGCACTGTTGTTTAGCGTTAAAACTAGTGTACATTTTTGATCATAAAACGTGGAGAACACAAAGAAATATGTCAGGAGCAACTAGTCTACAAAAGACTGAAGTGTTGCGTGTGGATATACACTTATTAACTCTTGAAAGTTCATAAATGAAATTAATGTCGACCAAAATATTTCCCCGTCTAAGTTATAAATTATAAGAACATACACTTTTATAATGAACAGTGATAAAGGAACAGGCAGTCAATATGTTTGATGGATGGTAGTTGACTATAAAAAATCACGGAAAGTTTATGAGAAAGTACACCTTAATTAAGAAGCTCTTTCTTGTGGAATAGGCGTGGTATGGCAGGAATACTCGCTATTAAATGGCACTATGCTATGGTGAAAAATTAACTTATGAATATTTTAAGGGCCGATTAGCGATGCAAACGGACTTAGGTAGCATTTTCTGACCAAAAGCGTACTCAATGATTTCAACTGGTCAAAATAGCACGCTAATACTGCAAACGAAAATTAGACCGTCATAACTTAAGTGTATAGCGTAACTCGTTGTAAATAGTAAAACACGCGGAAAATCCATTAATTCTATCGACTCGTTGACAGCGAATAAAGCAGTACAACGACAAATTAGTTAGCTTCGCTACTGGTGAGCCATATGGCTCACCAGTAGCGAAGCTAACTAATTTTTATGTGGTGTCTATATAGACACCACATAAAAAGCACCAGATGTCTATTCTATATATTTTTGGAAGGGCTAGTTCAATTTTTCAACCCATGTGAAGTACAATGAAATCCCAATATAAGTACTTACGGTGGTATTCGTCAACTCGAATTCTCTCAATATGTACGCTCCACAGTGGCT